GATTGGTGGAATGATGAAGTAAAGGGTGTGATAAAAGAGAAAAAGGTAGCTTACGAGAGGTTTTTACAAAGCAGAAGTGTTATAAGAAGAGCAGAGTATATGGAGAGTAAAAGAAAGGTGAAGAGAGTGGTGAGAGAGTGCAAAAGGAGAGCAGATGAAAGAGTGGGAGAGGCACTGTCAAGAAATTTTAATGAAAATAAGAAAAAATTTTGGAGTGAGTTAAACAAGTTAAGAAAGCCTAGGGAAAGTATGGATTTGTCCATTAAAAACAGAGTAGGGGAGTTAGTAGATGGGGAGAGGGAGGTATTAGGTAGATGGCGAGAATATTTTGAGGAACTTTTAAATGTTGAGGAAGAAAGGGAGGCGGTAATTTCATGCACTGGCCAGGGAGGTATACCATCTTTTAGGAGTGAAGAAGAGCAGAATGTAAGTGTGGTGGAGGTACGTGAGGCATTACGTAGAATGAAAGGGGGTAAAGCAGCTGGAACTGATGGGATCATGACAGAAATGTTAAAAGCAGGGGGGGATATAGTGTTGGAGTGGTTGGTACTTTTGTTTAATAAATGTATGAAAGAGGGGAAGGTACCTAGGGATTGGCAGAGAGCATGTATAGTCCCTTTATATAAAGGGAAAGGGGACAAAAGAGATTGTAAAAATTATAGAGGAATAAGTTTACTGAGTATACCAGGAAAAGTATACGGTAGAGTTATAATTGAAAGAATTAGAGGTAAGACAGAATGTAGAATTGCGGATAAGCAAGGAGGCTTCAGAGTGGGTAGGAGATGTGTAGATCAAGTGTTTACATTGAAGCATATATGTGAACAGTATTTGGATAAAGGTAGGGAAGTTTTTATTGCATTTATGGATTTAGAAAAGGCATATGATAGAGTGGATAGAGGAGCAATGTGGCAGATGTTGCAAGTTTATGGAATAGGTGGTAAGTTACTAAATGCTGTAAAGAGCTTTTATGAGGATAGTGAGGCTCAGGTTAGGGTGTGTAGAAGAGAGGGAGAATACTTCCCGGTAAAAGTAGGTCTTAGACAGGGATGTGTAATGTCACCATGGTTGTTTAATATATTTATAGATGGGGTTGTAAAAGAAGTAAATGCTAGGGTGTTCGGGAGAGGGGTGGGATTAAATTATGGGGAATCAAATTCAAAATGGGAATTGACAGTTACTTTTTGCTGATGATACTGTGCTTATGGGAGATTCTAAAGAAAAATTGCAAAGGTTAGTAGATGAGTTTGAGAATGTGTAGAAAGTTGAAAGTGAACATAGAAAAGAGTAAGGTGATGAGGGTATCAAATGATTTAGATAAAGAAAAATTGGATATCAAATTGGGGAGGAGTATGGAAGAAGTGAATGTTTTCAGATACTTGGGAGTTGACGTGTCGGCGGATGGATTTATGAAGGATGAGGTTAATCATAGAATTGATGAGGGAAAAAAGGTGAGTGGTGCGTTGAGGTATATGTGGAGTTAAAAAACGTTATCTATGGAGGCAAAGAAGGGAATGTATGAAGGTATAGTAGTACCAACACTCGTATATGGATGTGAAGCTTGGGTGGTAAATGCAGCAGCGAGGAGACGGTTGGAGGCAGTGGAGATGTCCTGTCTATGGGCAGTGTGTGGTGTAAATATTATGCAGAAAATTCGGAGTGTGGAAATTAGGAGAAGGTGTGGAGTTAATAAAAGCATTAGTCAGAGGGCATGGAATGACATGGAAACTTGCATTATTTCTTTTGGAAAAATATGGTCCTAGGTAGTAGTTAGTAGACAGCAATCACTCAGGGAGGTGGTTACTGTCTACCAACCTGTAATTGTTTTATGTGATGGTAGGATTACTGGTGTCTTTTTTCTGTCTCATAAACACGCAGGATAACAGGGATATCTTCCTACATCTACTTACACTTACGTCACACTACATGTGCATGCACATGCATATGTATACATACCCATCTAGGTTTTTTATTTTCTTAATAGTTCTTGTTCTTCTTTATTTCCTCAAATCTCCATGGGAAAATAGGAGATAATTCTTCCTCTGTAAGCCTTGTGTGTTGTAAGAGGCGAGTAAATTACTAAATTTAAAAAGAAAAGCAAAAGTTTTCCTTTTAGGCTACCTAGTCTCAGTGGGATATGGCCAGTATGATGTAAAAAAAAAGTGAGCACCAAACAACTGACTTGCAATGAATTTTTGGGAATACATTTATATCATAAGTTTGAGACCTACTGTATGACATTCAAGAGCATATTGACCTAAAAAAATTTAAAATGGGCTTCAAACCTCATAGCCAATTGAGATGGGGCAAACTAAAATAAGTGAATAAAGAAAAATGAAACTATTTTACAGTGACTAAAACAAAGCAATTAAACCAACAAAAGTTTCAAAGTGAAATGGGAAGGCAATGATGCATTACTTCTCTTAAACATCCTCACTCTTAACATAGTACAGTACTATGGAATTTACAGTGTGCAAGAACCCAAATCATGCAGGAGCTACCTTCAGTATTATAGCAACCATGCTACACAGATTTAATTAAAAAAGCATAGCTTTAAGTTTATTCTTACGTGTACTACATATTTGTTCCCAGAGGTATTTGGATGTGCAATTCATTAAAATTACTGCACAGCTTAAGAAAGTTGGTTACCCAAATTGATTCCTACAAGCGAAAAATACAACATATATTAGTTTCTCCAGGTACAAATACTGACAGGAAAAACAAAATTAGGTGTTCAATCATAATTTGTTATATGTTCTTGCAAAATCATAAAACAATATTTAAAATAAATAGTGATTTGGCATTTATAGGTCAAATAGGCAGAGACTTAAGGACTATATGAGAGAATATTAAAGATTTGGGAGATACTGTATACTCAAAATGCTAATGTACAGTATTTCAGCATTTTCTACGTATAGATCACTGACTAGGGGCAGAGCAAAAATAATTCATCACACAAATTGCAGCTACAAGAGTAAAAGGATAAGAGCTACTAGGATAAAAGATGTTCCAAATTTTAATGTCAGAGAGACAAGAGAGCCTACACCACCAAGCAGGCAGCAATAAGAATAATGTTCGAGGGGGTCATGACACGTGACTGTACCTTAAACTTATAAATTCTCTTCATTGTTCACCAAATTTCTATGGTGACATTAATGGGACCATAAAAGAATAAATAGAAAAAGTTTAAGGAATGAGATGTATGTGACACCGCAAACAAAATGTTGTGCAAACACTCATGACATTCATATAAAAACATCCTTATAATGCAGGGTTTAGCAGTGTTAACTGTTATGCAGAATATTTCGAGCAACTTAAATTCATTGTGTTTCCCAGGATGTGACCCCACAACAGTCATCTAACACCCATGTACCTACTTACTGTTAGGTGAACAGGGAAAGCAAGTGTAAGGAAACATGCTCAATGTTTCATCTGTGCTGGAATCAATCCCTTGACCTCAGCAGTGTGTGAGCTGAGGCTATCAATCAAGCCACGAGCACCCACGCCATCACACTATTGTACGCATATCATATCCCCAATTTTTCATTTTCTTTATGAGGGTAAATCGTAACTCAAGGGACCACTGTATCACATAAAATAGAGTTTCTATAATGTTCATTTTTCCAGTTTTACAAACTTAATAGAAAATTTATCGTTGAATTTAACTTTCTTATATTTAATTAAGCTAATTCATTAACTATTATATTAATATTGTGCAGTAAACCCTCAATTTAAGTGACTAATGGGGAAAGGGAAGGAAACGAGTGGCCTGTAATTATGACTGCTGTGGCTAGAGGAAATTGTTCTACTTTGATCATAACAATAACAGACAGTTCTGTAACCAATGTGAAGTGCCTGTTGTTTCCAAATCAAGTGAACCAGTTTATTTCTGAAAGCCATTAATCCAAACTTACATTTCACTTTGTTTTAAAGTTCAATGTTTTAACAACTTTCAAATTTGAATATGGCTCACTTGTAGAAGAAGAAAAAAAAAAAAAAAAAAAAAGTTAACCCTGAGTGCACACACATCAGTGTATTTCCAAAGACTGCATTATTGTTTTATATTTTCTAAAATCCTTCAATTTTCGAAAAAAAAAAAAGCTTAAAATTCCACATAATAGCATGCTTGCCAGAAATTTTTTGAAGCTGAATCACAAATGGCTATGATGCAGAGTACTACCATAGTGAATAGAAGGGAGTCCTCAGTATCATACTGCATATGCAAACAACCTGTTTCTTGGGGCAGACTCTTATACATGTTAGTATTCACTACCAAAAGTATTCGGATGCAAACAGATGGAAATTTTCTGTCTCCAGATCTTGAATGAATTCTCACAATGGCATAAAAAAAAAAATGCTAACCCTTTGGAGAATATGTTAGTTATAACTGATGGTAAAGGTATTTCCCTACTTGAGTCACCATGTCTTATTGATAAAAAGAGTCAATACAACAATTCTTGAACAAGAGACTACTAGAGTTCAACACCAGAAAGTGAAAAATAATGAATATGGATGCCGATTAAAAAACAGAGAATAAGCAATCCACGGAACCTTCAAAATTTTAAAGGATTCATTTGCCACACCAGACACAAAGCATAACTTAAGAGAGTTCAGAGGTATACCTCCAGACTAGTGCTAGAGTTGCAAGATATGAGCTATAAGGAAACCTACAGAAGCAAGAATTTTATAATTTAAACAAATGAAGAAAAGATTTGATCACCACAAACATAGTACTCTGGGAAATGACAAATAAGGATGACAAATTAAATAAGGGATCTCAAAATAAAAAAAAAATTATACAGAAGTTCAAATGTAAACTCTCTCCTGCATTTAGTCATAAATAATCAATCTATCACTCCATTTCCAGAAAAATGGGTAAGGGCACTCTGCTTTTCAATATCAAGTATCCAACTCTCATCCTATTCTTACTTTCTTTTCTCATTACACAAATAATATCCAAATGATAATATTGATTACCAGTTTTATAGTACTGATTAACTTACCACTTTACCACTGAAGAGCACCATGCCTTGATTTCTCAAGATGTCAGGGTCTGGCAAGGAATGAAAGGAAATCTCAGAGCTGTTTAATTCAGACGTGGGACTTAGACTTGTGAGGCAACAGAGTTTTTGTTTAGTTACAGGATTTGCAATGAAGTCCGTCAGTTTCATCTTGCCGCACAGTGTTTCCTCTGAGTGACCAAGAAGCAATGATGACATATCATTCGCTGTCAAGATCTGAAAACAGGGAAGGCCAATAAAATCTCAAAACAAATTTAATTGCAAAGAATGTTGATAAAATTATACAGTATTATAATGCATTATTAAGATCAGTAATCACATCACTAATAATAATAGTAATAAAATATTAAATAATAATAGACGAGCTTGGGAGGGTGTGTAAAGAAAGCAAGTGGAAAGTGAACATAGATAAGAATAAGGTGATAAGGGTATCAAAGGAGTTAGGTAAAGAAAAATTGGATATTACATTCGAGGGAGGGAGTATGGAAGAAGTGAATGTGTTCAGATATTTGGGAGTAGATTTATCAGCAGATGGGTTTATGAAGGATGAGGTTAACCACAGAACTGATGAAAGAAAAAAGGTGAGCGGTGCACCTGAGGTATCTGTGGAGACGAAAAAAATGTCATCCATGGGGGCAAAGAAGGGAATGTATGAGAGTATAGTGGTACCAACACTCTTATATGGGTGTGAAGTATGGGTTCTGAATGCTGCAGCAAGGAGGCTGGAGGCAGTGGAGATGTCATGTCTAAGGGCAATGTGTGGTATAAATATTATGCATAGTGTGAGAATTAGGAGGTGTTTAGTTACTAAAGGTATTATTCAGAGTGCTGAAGAGGGGTTGTTGGGGTGGTTTGGTCATTAAGAGAGGATGAAGCAAAATAGGTTGACTTGGAAGGTGAATAAATCTGTAGTGGACTGGAGGAGGTGTTGGGTTCATCCTAGGAAAGGATGGAGGGAGGGGGGTAAAAGAGGTTTCGGGTGCAAGGGGACTGGCCATGCAGCAGGCATGTGTGAGCGTGTTGGATAGGAGTGAATGGAGACGAATGGTTTTTGGGATCTGACAAGATGTTGGAGTGTGAGAAGGTTAATATTTTGTGAAGGGTAGTAGGTTGGTAGACAGCAACCACCCAGGGAGGTACTACCGTCCTGCCAAGTGAGTGTAAAACGAAGCCTGTGATTGTTTTACATGATGGTAGGATTGCTGATGTCTTTTGTCTGTCTCATAAATATGCAAGATTACAGGCATGTCTTGCTACTTCTACTTACACTTAGGTCACACTACACATACATGTACACATTTATTTATACACACTCATCTGAGTTTTCTTTGATTTTATCTTAATAGTTCTTGGTCTTATTAATTTTCCTTTTATATCCATGGGAAGTGGAATAAGAATCTTTCCTCCGTAAGCCATGCGTGTTGTAAAAGTCAACTAAAATGCCGGGAACAATGGGCTAGTAACCCCTTTTCCTGTAAAGATTACTAAAAAGAATAAGAAGAAGAAAATTGTCAAAGTGGGAAGTCTGAATGTGCGTGGATGTTGTGCAGATGATAAGAAAGAGATGATTGTGGATGTTATGAATGAGAAGAAGCTGGATGTCCTGGCTTTAAGTGAAACAAAGCTGAAGGGGGTGGGAGAGTTTCAGTGGAGAGGAATAAATGGGATTAGGTCAGGGGTTTCAAATAGAGTTAGAGCTAAAGAAGGAGTAGCAATAATGTTGAAGGATAAGCTATGGCAGGAAAAGAGGGACTATAAATGTATTAATTCAAGGATTATGTGGAGTAAAATAAAGATTGGATGTGAAAAGTGGGTTATAATAAGCGTGTATGCACCTGGAGAAGAGAGAAGTGTAGAGGGAGAGAGAGAGATTTTGGGAAATGTTGAGTGAATGCGTGGGGAGTTTTGAATCAAGTGTGAGAGTAATGGTGGTTGGGGATTTTAATGCTAAAGTGGGTAAAAATGTTATGGAGGGAGTAGTAGGTAAATTTGGGGTGCCAGGGGTAAATGTAAATGGGGAGCCTTTAATTGAGCTATGTGTAGAAAGAAATTTGGTAATAAGTAATACATATTTTATGAAAAAGAGGATAAATAAATATACAAGGTATGATGTAGCACGTAATGAAAGTAGTTTATTAGATTATGTATTGGTGGATAAAAGGTTGATGGGTAGGCTCCAGGATGTACATGTTTATAGAGGGGCAACTGATATATCGGATCATTATTTAGTTGTAGCTACAGTTAGAGTAAGAGGTAGATGGGAAAAGAGGAAGGTGGCAACAACAAGTAAGAGGGAAGTGAAAGTGTATAAACTAAGGGAGGAGGAAGTTCGGGTGAGATAAAAGCGACTATTGGCAGAAAGGTGGGCTAGTGCAAAGATGAGTAGTGGGGGGGTTGAAGAGGGTTGGAATAGTTTTAAAAATGCAGTATTAGAATGTGGGGCAGAAGTTTGTGGTTATAGGAGGGTGGGGGCAGGAGGAAAGAGGAGTGATTGGTGGAATGATGAAGTAAAGGGTGTGATAAAAGAGAAAAAGGTAGCTTATGAGAGGTTTTTACAAAGCAGAAGTGTTATAAGAAGAGCAGAGTATATGGAGAGTAAAAGAAAGGTAAAGAGAGTGGTGAGAGAGTGCAAAAGGAGAGCAGATGATAGAGTGGGAGAGGCACTGTCAAGAAATTTTAATGAAAATAAGAAAAAATTTTGGAGTGAGTTAAACAAGTTAAGAAAGCTAGGGAAAATATGGATTTGTCAGTTAAAAACAGAGTAGGGGAGTTAGTAGATGGGGAGATGGAGGTATTGGGTAGATGGCGAGAATATTTTGAGGAACTTTTAAATGTTAAGGAAGAAACAGAGGCAGTAATTTCATGCACTGGTCAGGGAGGTATACCATCTTTTAGGAGTGAAGAAGAGCAGAATGTAAGTGTGGGGGAGGTACGTGAGGCATTACGTAAAATGAAAGGGGGTAAAGCAGCTGGAACTGATGGGATCATGACAGAAATGTTAAAAGCAGGGGGGGATATAGTGTTGGAGTGGTTGGTACTTTTGTTTAATAAATGTATGAAAGAGGGGAAGGTACCTAGGGATTGGCAGAGAGCATGTATAGTCCCTTTATATAAAGGGAAAGGGGACAAAAGAGACTGTAAAAATTATAGAGGAATAAGCTTACTGAGTATACCAGGAAAAGTGTACGGTAGGGTTATAATTGAAAGAATTAGAGGTAAGACAGAATGTAGGATTGCGGATGAGCAAGGAGGTTTTAGAGTGGGTAGGGGATGTGTAGATCAGGTGTTTACATTGAAGCATATATGTGAACAGTATTTAGATAAAGATAGGGAAGTTTTTATTGCTTTTTGGTTTTAGAAAAGGCATATGATAGAGTGGATAGAGGAGAATGGGCAATTTTGCAAGTTATGGAATAGGTGGGAAGTTATTAAGCTGAAAGATTTTTTATGGGATAGGGGGTCAGGTTAGGGTGTGTAAAAGAGAGGGGAGACTATTTCCCCGGTAAAAGTAGGTTTGACGGGATGTGTAATGTCCCCGGGTTTGTTTAATATTTTAGGGGGGTTGAAAAGGGAAAAGTAAATGCTGGGTGTTTGGGAGAGGGGGGGTTTAAATTTAGGGGGAATCAAATTCAAAATGGGAAGAACAGTTACTTTTTTTGAGAACTGTGCTTAGGGGAGTTTTAAAAGAAAAATTGCAAAGGTTAGTGGATGATTTTGGGGAATGTGTGTAAAGGTAGAAAGTTGAAAGTGAAAAAAAAAGGGAGTAAGGTGATGAGGGTGTCAAATGATTTAGATAAGAAAAATTGGATACAAATTGGGGAGGAGGGTATGAAGAGTGTGTTTCAGATACTTGGGGTTGCGTGCGGCGGATGGTTTTATAAAGGGAGGGGTTAAATCATAGAATTGATGAGGGAAAAAGGGGAGGGGGCGTTGGGTATATGTGGGTCAAAAAAAAGTTTCTAGGAGGCAAAGAAGGGAATGTTTAAAGTTAGTAGACCAACATTTAAAGGATGTGAAGCTTGGGTGGTAAAAGCAGCAGCGAGGAGACGGGTTTGGGGGCAGCGGAGATTCCTGTTTAAGGGAATGTGTGGTGTAAATTTATGCAAAAATTCGGGTGTGGAAATTAGGAGAAGGTGTGGAGTTAATAAAATTTAGTCGGGGCAGAAGGGGGTTGTTGAGGTGGTTTTGGGCATTTTGAGAGAAAGGATCACGTAGAATGACATGGAAAGCATTTTAAAAACTTTAGGGGAAGGAAAGGGGGGGTAGGGGGGGTCCTCGAAAGGGTTTGGGGAGAGGGGTAAAGGAGGTTTTGTGGGAAAGGGGCTTTGGGCTTCCAGCAAGCGTGCTGAGGTGTTGATAGGAGTGAATGGAGCGAATGGTACTTTTGGGGCCTGACGTCTGTGGAGTGTACAGGTAAATTTATGAAGGGGGTTCAGGGAAACCGGGTTATTTTTATATAGGGACTTGAGTCCTGGGAAAAGGGGAAATACAATGCCTGCACTTTAAAGGAGGGGTTTGGGATATTGGCAGTTTGGAGGGATATGTTGTGTATCTTTATATGTTTATGCTTCTAGACTGTTGTATTCTGAGCACCTCTGCAAAAACAGTGATAATGTGCGAGTGTGGTGAAAGTGTTGAATGATGATGAAAGTATTTTCTTTTTGGGGATTTTCTTTCTTTTTTGGGTCACCCTGCCTCGGTGGGAGACGGCCGACTTGTTGAAAAAAAAAAAAAAAAAAAATTCAGAGAAACCGGTTAGCAGGTGGGAAGTACAATGCTTGCACTCTAAAGGAGGGGTTTGGGATATTGGCTGTTTGGAGTGACATCTGAACTATCATATCTGGGCATCTCTGCAAAGTAAGTGATATTGTGTGAATGATGGTGAAAGTGTTTCTTTTTTTTTTGGGTCATCCTGCCTCGGAGGAAGATGGCAGACAAGTTGAAAAAATAATAATAATAATAGTGAAAAAGATGCTAGAGGCAGCAGAGATGTCATGATTGAGAGCAATGTGTACAGTTCAGATGGCTAAGAAGTTGTTGCTTTGGTTCAGAACCTGTAATTGGAAGACATGAGGAGAAGGGTAAAACAAGCTTTGAGTTTTATGGGTTTTAACATACAGCAGGCATCCATGAGCATGTCAGATAGGAATGATCTTAAATGAATGTGCTGTTGAAGTGTGAGTAGGGTAACGTTTATGAAGAGATTCAGGAAAACC